GAAGTATACGTGATTATTAAAAAAATTAAAAATAGATAAAATTTGCATTTTATGGAGGATACAATTTTTTGGGGATTTCAAAATAATATACTAAAACATTAAAAGTAATAAGTTCAAATCTGTTAGCAAATGTAAATATTGTAATCATTTCTTATAAATACGATTTCCTAATGTAATTTTCCAAGATATTAAAGATCATAATGCAAAAAACTAAATTTATTAAAAGTAATAGACTTTATGTTTCTTAAACTACCTACATTTGTCAAAGTATTTATGAATTTTCGAAAATATTCGTCCACTAGTTTTATTGTTGGAATAAAATATAGCAAGACTTGCATTGCCTACTAAGAAAGTTAGTAGCCGGTAGTCATCGGGTTAAGATCACCTAATTATTCAGGTTTGTTTCAGACCACTTAATATCTCAAAATATTTGCTGTAATCCCATATTTACCACAGACTGACAATCTCAATCTTTTTGGCTTTGCACGAACGCTTGAAATCTCTAATTTTTTTGTCATCTATGTGATGTCTCCCATTTTTTTAGGCATGGCCAGAGATAACGTATCAACTGAGTATTCCCTTTGATCACTTAATTATTAACTTTTGTATAAGCCTATCTGCCAAGTTTTGCCTAAAATCCAATTTGCGACTTACCCGAAATAATTTATTAATATTCAACTTATATTTTTCCAGAGATCACTTACTTACTAAATACTGCCTGAGATAGTCTATTTATTGGACTTTACTAGAAATCCAATACCTACTGGCCATTACTATTTGAGCTTTGTCTACAATCCTCTATACCTTAACAAATTTAGAACTTTCAATTTCCAAGTTGTTTCAGAAATATTTCAAATATCTTTCCACATACATACAAAAAAAAAGAGAGATAAAACAACCACTGCAACATAAGTAAAATACTATCCCTACAAATGTCAGAAAAACTTATGTCAAAACAGTACACCTTTTCAATGAACAAAGATTAAAAGTAAAAACAAAACATGAAATAAACAAAACAAAAGAACTCCATACATTTCACATATTACTTTCAGACCCTTTGCTCCAGTGGGAACACTAACATAAAATAGCCCACACACACACAAATTGGGAATGAGTTGTAAATCTTTGGATTAGAAAATACTTTATAGACTAAACATTTATAATTAATTGTTAATTAGATATATGTGGACATACTGCATACTATGTATGAATAATTTATACACATCTAGTATTTAAAATAATCAATAATGTTTATTGCATTAACCTGAAGTAAACATACATTAGAACACATTTTTTGAAAATAAAACCATA